AATGCCTATATGTTAATAAAAAATAGTTAAAATTTTCCTTTCCTGAATTTACTTTTAAGAACACGATATATGTAAAGTTATCTGACAAAATATAAATTTAAATGAATATAATAAATCATGTCTTCTTGTTATAACAAAAATTATGCAAGAAATTATTTAAATAAAATAACCATATAAATTGAGTACATATATCAAGATATATGTATAGTATGTATCACTGGTTATAATCCCTGTGCAACCTACTAAATTTGTTCAAATTTTAAAAAATAATTTAAATATAGAAAATAAACATTATTTGATGTGAATAAAATATGAAAAATGTAAATAAAAAAGAACATGGATCAATTAGATTGTGTAAAATAGTTAACATGAAAAACAATATTTTAGAAGAAAACATGGCCTATCTATATCTAATTCCTGAAAAATTTGTAAGTAATTTTTTCATACAAAATAACATTTTTCATATAAAATAATTAAAAATAAACTTCTTAATTTTAGTTTTAGTATAATTTTTATTATAAATTGTGAATAGTGTGATTATGCTTAAAAACAAAAAAAAAAAAATAAAAATTAATTATATCATGGTAATTTATTCAACACTTTATTATAAATTACATTATTAATATAGTTTACATGGTTTTTAAACTAATTAATAATAAGAAGAGTTATGTTTTATGAACACTGAAATACAATTAATAAATACAGTCTTGATATACCTATAATCAACAATGTTTTTAAATCACATGTCAAGCATTTCAAAATCAATCCTTTGTATAAGATAATTTTAAGAATAATTTTGAAATGTATAAATAAACTGAAAAAGTAAATTTTTTAAAGTATGTAGAATGTAATATATTTTTTGTTTGGTTATATTTAAAATGTATATATATATTTCAAAAATTATTCAAAGTAATTTATTAAGATAATCATAAAAAAAATTTATGTCACATTCTGAACTTAATGTTTGTTTCATATTTTTGCAATTTACAACAAAATTTTATTTTTCAATATTAGTCGAGACTTATATATTTTTATTTGTTTTTTTTTTTTTCAAGTCTAAGCCTGTAACTTCAAGATTTTGTTGAACTTCTATGTTATATGGCTAATTGTTTTTCTACCTAAAACTTTTTTTTATTTGGGCTTTTCATTTTATTGTATCTGGATTTGGACTCTAATACCATATTAGTATTTAAGTATATGAGCTAATTCAATAGTAAAAAAAGAATGTTTGGGTTGCTACAAACTTAAAAGACCTCTTTACCTAAAATATCTTGGACAATTGTAAATTAAAGCTCTCTTGCATAACATTTAAGCTCACCAACGTAGGACTTGATATTTTAACAGAATAAATCTTTTTGTCTTGAATTCAAACCTGGTCTTCTTCTAGCTTAAGCTTATAGATAAGCTCTCTTTTTACGTTCATTTGATTGAACAATAAAAATAAAAAACCATCTCTGATTTTTTTGTAAAAGACATTGATTTAAACTTTCTATTAAGTTGTTATATTTAAATTTTAAATTGAATATTGATCAAATAAAGTAATTTAAGCAAAGACAGATTTTAAAATAGTTTATTGTATATTTTATTACACATTTTTTAAAATATAAAAATATATAGTAAACATTACCTATTATAAAATAATGAAAAATATGTAACTATAAAATTATATATAAATAAATAATTATTATGAGATTATGTTTTACAAATTTATAAGTCGTGTAAAAGTTTGCATAATATATACTATTTATATGATAATATCATGTGCACTAACGATTAGTTATAATTTTTTTTTTTGTTAAAGTTATTAGAAGTGTTAAATTAGAAAATTAGATACTTAGTTTTATTTGATTTTATTCTTATTTTCTCTAAAAGAATATCAAATAATATATGTAAAATAATTTGATCTTATTCAAATTATAAAAACAATAAAATTGTCCCTGAATGTATATGTAAAATTATTTGGGAAAATGCAGGATTATGATAAAAACAATATATTGTGTCCTCATGTTACAGAAAAATCATGTAAAAAATTATTTAAATAAAATAATCATACAAATATGTATGTATTACTAGTTATAATTCTCATGCACTATATTTGCTTAAAAATTAAAAATATAAAATATAAGTTTAATGTGAATAAAATATGATAACCTTAAATATGAAAGAACATGAATTAATTAGATTGTGTAAAATAGTTAACATGACAAAAAAAAAAGACAGAAAAAATCAACGCTTCTCTAATTCATGAAAAATTTTAAATAATTTTTCCATACATAACATGTTTTCATAAATAAAAAATGTTAAATAAAACTTTCTTTAATTTTATTTTAATAAAATATTCATTATAAATAACAGTTTTAATATAATGTGTATATTTTTATTATTATATTCAACAATATGAATTGTCAACTTCTATGGTGTGATTATACTTAAAAAAATACACAAAAATCAATTATGTCGTGATAATTCATTAAACAAATAAACTACATTAGCAATATAGTTTGCATAATTTTGAACTACTTAATAATAAAAAGAGTTTAATTTTTAATACACGATCAATGCAAATATTTTCATACTATCAAATAATTAAAATATGTGATGGATATTATTTTTAAATTAATTATTATAAAATTTAAAAAATTTTACTGAGGGAACAATTCTTACTTCAATAACAGTGTATAAGTAATTTACACTGCTATTGCATAACAATTAGTTTCTTTATAATTTTTTTAAAACTATTTTATAATTCATCTATTTAATAAATACAAATCATTATATACTTATAATGAAAAATATTCTTAAATCACATATCAAGGTTTCAAAACCAATCGTTTGTATAAGTTTTTTAAAAATTAATTTTGAAAAGGTATAAATAAACTTAAAAAGTAATTATTGTTTATAAATTTATTTAAAATATAATATATTTTTTGTATGGTTATATTTAAAATATACACTATTTTTTTCAAAAACCACTCACAGTAATTTATCAAAATAATAAAAAATTTGATTTTTTATTTATGTTCTATTTAAATTTTTAAATAAACACATTAATTTTTAAATTTATTTTTTAAAAATAATTTTTTTATGGATTCATAATTACACAAGTGGAAAGCTTTGAAAATAATTATTTTATAAATATCTATAATAAATTCAGAAAAATTTGATTATTTCTACTAAATCTATAAATGTTTATTGAAAGCATATACTAGTGAAGAGTATCAAATGTTATTTAAAATTTATAAAGTCATCCTATGACTTAAAATAAGACTTACAGTCCATAATACCATCACCTAGGAGACTATGATACAAGTTAAGTTATACTTGTGTATTTGAGAGAAACAATATCATATTGATGAAACTTGCTTGAGATCAATTGTTAAATTAATAAGCATAAGTGAACCAGAATCATATTGAATAAAAGATAATATTGACAATACATCCTCTAAAACATTCTTAATTTGATAATTATCTCTTTTAATTTAATAATTTTCTCTCATAATTTTGCATTTTGCAACAAAATTTAGTCAATTAACAAGAATGTATTAGAGAGTTTCTTCGTGGTACTCTTCTTAAATAAATGTAAACATGTTGAGCAAAACATACATGTGATAAAAATTTGTTAACATGATAATTTAATTATTTGAGTTGAATGTGATATTTTGTGTAATTGTATAATTTGTTCATGAAACGATGATAGAATATAACATTTAAATTTTCTATGGATTAAATAAGATTTTGGTCTCCAAAAAATTTATAATTTTTTTATTTGGTCTCTCCTTTATAAATTTTTTAAACTATTCTCTCAAAAATTATTTTTATTTTTATTTTATTTTATTCCTACATTAATAATTTACTAACTTGTTCTGTTATTTGTTTACGTAACATCCAAATTGACTCATATAATTTGAATGAGACATAACATACATCTGAAATTGAGATTTAGAAATATGAAGAGAATAAAAATATCGATATCACATAATCATCTCCATTAACTCTATTACATTACATAAGATGAATGTTACATAGATACATATTACATAGGTATATACTAAAAAAAAAAGTTTGAATTTCTGATAGAGGTAACATGTGAAAAAAAAAAAAACAAAGATTTTTGAGTAACTTGTTTGTAAAAAGAAAAACTAAAAATGAAAAATTAAATGAGAAAATCGTGAATATTTTTGGGAGGATAAAATATTATTCAATTTATATTCTATTTATTAGATTTTAATTAATATTTAAGAATTGAAGATTAAATTTTTTTCAACATTTAATTTTCTTTAAAATATTAAAATGGAACCTAATTTATTTAATATTAAGAATGCTATGAAGTATATAATACAGATGATGTGAATTTATTATTTAGTTATTCATAAAAATAAGAAATTTCATTACAATTAAATTCGTAAAATAAAATTTCATTTAATAAAAATGTTAGTGTTAAATTGTTATTCCATAACAAATTAAATAGTTTCAAAATTATAGTGATGTAACATTTAATTTTCTATTTCAAAATATTTTTATCAACATAAATAATACAAAATATGAATATTTTGTATAATATTTAAATTTGGAATAATTTATAATAACTTACATTAATCAACAATTAAAATTAGAAAATGAGAAATAAATTATTATTATAATTATCAATTTATATGTAACATTATTATGCATTAAAATTTTATAATTCCAAAATAAATCATAAGAAACTTAATATATAATTTTTGGCATTTAAATTTCTTTTTATTAAATCACAAGAAACTTACTTTTGTTGTTGTAAGAATATAACCAACCACCAAAGACGCTAGAACAATATTCAAACAGAAATATCTTTCCACCAATGTGAATCAGAAGAATGGTTTTGAGCCAAACCAGAAGTATTACTCCTGTTTCTCGAAGTGAAAAATTTTAATGCATACCCTTTTCACATCTCCAGCAAACTTTTATTTCACCGCTGGAATATTCAGATTATTTTAAATGGGAAATCTGCTTATGTATGTATAAAGTTCATATTATGTTAATTACGATTAGATACATCTCAGCCAGTTTTATGCAATAGAAAACAAACCAAACGTATACTTACCTGATGCAAAATTAGAATAATTTGGGAAATTTACAATAATTCAGATTGGAGCTACATCCCTCATGGTTTGGGAGCATCAGACTTTTTTATTGGTGCTTAGAAGGCCTCTAATTAGCTTATCTCCTTCAATAAATGGAATGTCCAACTATTGCTCCAAGCCTTCTTCAAAATCTTAAGTGTTTGTTGCAACTGCTCTTCATTGGATATTCAGCTCTACTTTGTGTAGCACACAGACTTGCCTCTCTGGTATTGCTTTTTTATATTTTTAGTGCACTTCTTGGTCGGATTTGAGATATGCAGGTCATCCATAACAATATGCACTTTGGAAAGAGCAAAGATTAAACAGAAATTTTGATGTTCTAAAACAATAATTGCAAATATAAAAACCTCTACTAAACTGGCTATATATGGTATTTTTGGGTGATCAACTGCTGGACCCCTTAGCAAGTGGTCAATACTAGAAGTTGCCTCCCAAAGATCATTTCTATGAAGGTAACTTTACGATAACTGATATAAGTGGATCAGAAATATGTAGAGAAAAACGGTTTCAATTAAATGAAAAGAATGCAAATGATTACCAGGACTTTCCAGAGGCCTGGACTCTCCTGCAACAATTTGTATTTCCTCTCAAATCACTAATTAATATCTTCCTCTCAACCCTTTTTATTATTTATACGCAACACGACATATTCAAACTAACTAATTAATGGATAACTAACTGACAAAAACAGAGAATATGAGGACACTTAAAAACTGAAGTTTAACTATATCAAGAAAGGTATTATAAGTAATGGAATTTTGCTGTTACTACATCAAAAGTTTCTGTTACTATGCCCCAGTGACAATTCACATTCAGGTAGGTCAGAGAATATGTTTATTTTTAATAATCATTGTAGCACTGTCACCAGAAAATTCTAGTAAGTGTAATAATAATTTCTAAAGAATCCTCCTTCGACCAATACTCCATTAAAAAAATTAGTTAATTACCAGTAACAGTGTAATAATTGTAAGTATTGTTGAAGATGCCAGTGGCCAAAAAGAGAGAGTTGAACAAATGATGGTCAAACCTCAAATTTTACATATGTTATCCACATCGTGCTGAACAAAATCTCGGGGCAACGCAACCATCATTCAAGCAAAGTAAAAAAGAAAAAAAGCAAGTTAGCAAATTGAAAATTTGGAAAGAACTAATTTTTAAAACATGTCTTCGAGTTAACAAGCTATCATCTTGGCTTCTTAAAATATGAGAACAAGCAATTATTGCTCCTCATGGAAACATGAACAGAGCCCGATGGCAGAGAAAATTAATGATCTTTGATCAACAAGTTATGCCACATGAAGAAAAACGGTCTCTCACCTTGTGCATTTGGTGAAAACCCATATATACAATTCATGCCAACACCAAGGCATCAAAAAGCTCAAAAGGACCCAACAGCTTGTCTGATTTGCAAACCAAGGAAACCACAGTTTTCCATATATCCTCATTGCAAAATCCTCCCCGACCCAAACCACTCAAAACTGTCAAGAGCAACTCAAAATTCCCTTCCCGGCACAGCGCACCGACAAACTCATTCAAACTACCGGAGAGCGGAACAAAGCCTTTAAAAACCATCTCCTCCAAAACCAAAGCAGCCTCCACAAAATGCATCCAACGGCAAAGCCCATCAAATAGCGTGCGATACGTCACAACATCAGGAACACACCGGCGTCTTGGCATATCTTGAAACAGATCATTCGCCTCCCTCCATTTACCCTCTTTACACAACCAACCAATAACCACATTGTACCCAACAACATCAGGCTTCACACCTTCCATCCCATCCAAAACCCTATAAGCTTCTTCAAAATTCCTCTCCCTACAGAACTCCCCAATCAACACGTTACATGTCACCGAATCCGGTTTGCAACCACCATTCTTCATTTCCTCCAAAACCCTAAACCCTTCCTCCTTCTTCCCCGCCTTGAGAAGCGCAGAAATCAAAGTGTTATACACAACCACATCCAACCTCAAATTGTTCCTAACCATCTCATCCTTCATCCTAAAAGCACAATCAAAGTCCCCAACCCCACAAACCCCTTTAATCAAATTAACATACACAGAACCATTAGGCTTCAACTTAAAAACCCTCTCCATTTCCTCTTTCACCTTAAACGCCTCTTGCAACTGCGATTTCTTGCACAGCAAGTTAATCAAAGTCCCGAACGTAACCCCGGTGGGGCGAACCCCGCGCGTGCGCATTTCATCGAACAGTTTCCACGCGCGTTCCGCGTCGCAGCTTAAGGAACACGCGTTGATGAGGATGTTATAAGTGCAGGCGTCTGGGGCGCCGAATTCGTTAACGCGCGAGAGGAATTGCGTGAGGGAGTGAAAATCGCGGCACGTGAGGAGCGCGTGGAGGAGGGAGTTGAAGGACTTGAAGGTGGGGGTGCAACGGAAAGAGGGAATGGAGAGGAACGTGCGGATGGCACGTGCGGGGAGACGAGCGCGGGCATAGAAGGAGATAACGTGGCAGAAGAGGGGTTCGGGGACTTGGAAGCGCGTTTCGCTTTGGAGGAGTTGGAGGACTTGTTCCATTTGGGGGAACATTTTTGCGCGACCGAGTTTGGTGATGATGAGGTCGTAGGAAAGGAGGGAGTAGCGAAATGGGCGTGGGTTCGGGTTGTTGTGGTTTGGGTTGAGGAAGAGTTGGAAGGCGAGGGTTGGGTCCTTTTGTGAGCGTAAGAGGGAGGATAGTCTGAAGGGTGATATGGGTTTGGAAGTGCCCATTGGCTTGTTACTTCTCGCCCTCTTCTAATTTGAATAGTTACTTAGTACTACTAGTCGTCTACTACTACTACTACTACTTAGTACTTGCCACTCACATTCCCTTGCCTTTGCTAGAGCAAGTGCCGTCGTGGAGAGTGAGAGAGAAGTTGATTTGCTCATGTTCGCTGCAATTTTGCAAATCTGTTTTGACGTAGGTGGTGGACGGAACGGAAGCTTAACGGTGTAAGGAAACAATCATTTCGTGACCAGAGAGAGTAAGCCAATTACGCTTAAAAAATTATTATACTTTATTTGATATTTTGTCCCTTTTTTTTGGAAAAAAATTATCAAGATACAGGGATTTTAAAAAAATTATAAAAATATAGATTTTTTTTTTAAAAAAAGCGTCCTTTTTTACTAAAAATCGTCAATAGTATTTTATGACAAAAAAATATTTTTTTAAATTTCTATTAACAATTTTTAATTTTTAATATTTTGTTATTATTTTTTAAAGCTTGTCCTTTTTTATAAAAAAATTATCTTTGAATTTTTGTACTTACATCAAAATTTGTTATCTACGACTTTTGAACTTTATATTTATTTTAATTTTTCAGAAGCATCATTTTTTATATTTATTATTTTTAAATATTATACATAAAAATTAATTCTTTTATTTTTTTAAATTAGTTTTCTTTATCACACTATACGCACATATTGATAAAAATAATTTTATTTATAATAATAAATAATTTAAATTAACTAATGTTTGTTTTTTTTAATAATAAAGTTACAATCTATAAATTCTTTAAATTAATTTTAAGAATTAAAGATAATAAAATTATGAAATAAAAGTGTATTAAACACAATATTTAAAAATATATTTAAAGTATCTAAATAATGATCCTTTATTTTACATAAAATATTTAAATAATAATAATAATAATAATAATAATAATAATAATAATAATAATAATATATTGTATTATTTTTTGTAATATTTCATATATTATTTGAATATAGTTAGAAATTATTGAAATCGCTGTTAAGATATTAGCTAACATCAATAAAAGGGATTGAGAAATTTATAAGGCTATCAATTATATATCAACAATGATATCGAAATACTATGTTCTAGAATAATGTCCATAAAAGTAAATAGTAGGCTTTATTAGAAAAAGTAATTATAAATTTTAAAATTTTATTATAAATTAGTTATAAATGATTGTTATATATTCTGAACTGTGGCTACATCTCTATGTATGTATCTAGGTTGGTTATAATGTAGAAAGAATGGCATACGTAAAAAAAAATTCAACGTTAATTTTGCCATAATGGACATAAAAAATAAATTTTAATATTAGTTAAGAAAAAATATTTAAAATGTTATTTTTTACATTGGTTGTACCATAATCAATATGACAATATTGACAATTTATATTAATTATGATAAAGAATATAATTTTATATTTGTTGTTTAATAGACTTAAATGACTCGGCTTAGTATATCATTTATATCTACATAATTTCTTCAACTGACGCAAAAAGTTATTTTTAAAATTTTGTTAAATTATCCTAATTTTATGAAAGTTATGTAGTAGTTAATTTCATTATTGTATTTTGGTTTGTTGTATAATACAAGAACAAGGATGATATTTAAAATAGTGCAAAATATAAAGGGATTAAACTTATGAGTCACATTATAAAGTTATGGAGGAAGGTGATTGAACATAAAATATAAGAAGAAACTGATATTGCAAAAAATCAATTTGGTTAGGTCTACAATATAAGTTATATACTATTACGAAAGATGATAGAAAAGTATCACTATAAAGAAAAATATTTATATATAGTTTTTATTAACATGAAAAAAGCCATATGATTAGGTACCAAGATAAGTGATATAGAAGACTTTAGAAAAGAAAATGATATGTATAACATATATGCAGATTATATAAGACATGTATAAGGTGGGGGGAAGGCATATGATCAAGCATCAAGATAAATACTATGAAAGGCTTTATAAAAGAAAAGAGTATTTGTAGCATATATCCCAACTATACAAGACATGTATAATTACATGTGCGAGAACTTCTAGAGAAATATATTTTAAGACTTCCTAATAGAAAAAAGTTCTCACCAAGACTTTGTTTTGAGTCCTTATTAATTTAATTTAGTCTTATATATGCTTACAAATAACATACAAAAGATTATCCCTCAATACATTTTATTTGAAAATGACATAATATTGCTTGAGGATTTGAAAAACAGATAATAGTGCTAAACTTAGTTATAGAAAGAGACTTTAGATTCTAAAGGTTTTTGCTTGAGTAAAAGCAAGATAGAGTATATGCACTACAAGTTTAGCAAAAAAACAAGATGAAGATTATGCATATGCATAGAAGTTAAAATTAGAAATAATATTATACCATAAATTTTCAAATTCAAGTATTTGAATCAATTATATAGAATGATGAAAAAATTAATAATATTACTAACAAAATACAAGCTAAGTAATTAAAGTGAAGAAAAGATATGAATAGTTATTTATGATTGTAAAGTACCTATCAAGCTAAAAAGAAAGTTTTATCATACTATAATATGATTAACTATCATGTTGAGTTAAAATTACACAAAAAGAAAATGAAAGTGATAAAAAAAAGAATGTTAAAAATGAGATTAATTTAATTATTAATTGAAACTTTTTCATTTATACTAAGCTTATAAAACGTGAGATTTTTGTCTTTTATCCGTAAAAAGCTACTCTTAAAATAAGGGTAGTTATTATAGTTGCAAACACGGCAGAGATATCAAGCAGAATTGAATTAAAAAAGTTCAAGGGACGTCATTAAAATTTGTCCTACAAATTATGTTAAATATAAAAAATAAGTTTTACTTAAAATTATAAAAAAAAAAAGATTAATTTATTGTCTTCTGACTAAATTAAAAAAAAGAAAAAAACTAACTCCTTCAGTTCAATTCAAACCAAATCATTATATTATTAATGTAAACCTACAATGTAATGATATTAATAGTTTAATATATTTTTTTAATAAAATTATATTAATAAAGACATTTCTAACGCTTATATTTTTATCTGTTAGTATATTATTTTTATTGCAAGTTTCTTCTACTCATTGACTTTAAAATTTTGAGTTCATATTTCAATATCTAAGCACCTTTAAAGTGTTTAATAGTTGAATTAATTATACTTTTATTATCCATACATTAATTTATGTAAAGTTTAATTCTTTTAATTTTAATTATTTTTATTTAATTTTATTATCATTTTTAATTATTTAAATTAAGTCATCCATCCTAAAATTTCATCTAATAATTAACAAAAATATAATAGAGATGTGATATATTATTAATTTACAAAAATTAGTAAAAAATATATAAAATATTTAAATAAAATACTCAATAAAATAAAATATTTTTATTTAATTATTTTATATTTTTTCCTTGTGAATTTGTTTAAATCAACGATATATTACATCTTTATTCTATGTTTGTAATAATTAGATAAAATTTTTAAATGAGGAACTTAATTTAAAAAATTTTAAATTAAATATGAATAATTAAAATTATTGAAATTAAAAATACATACAAATTAAAAATATCAATAAACCTTATTAATTTCAAAGGTTCTTAGATAATAAATGCATACAATATCTATGCACTTCTATAAAAATTGAGTTAGGATCTCAATGCCTAGCACTAACATATTAGTTAGCTTATTCCTTACCTCACTTCATATATAGTTAGTGATAGAGAGAACCTATATATGACCCATATTAAGTACATGTTTTCTTTCTATTTGCCTTTTCGGTAGGTGAATCAAATAGAGGACGAAATAAAAGTAAAAAAGAAACAACACCTATTTGCATATTGTCCTAAACAAAAAACGATACACGAATACGTGAAAAATGTTAGATATATGCGTATAGTATGCCTTAGTCAAAAGAGGACAATATAAAGAACACACTTAAAAGAAAGAAAAAAAAATTAGCAAAAAATAATAATAATTTTTAACGATAATATTAATGGCCACAAAAAATTATTTTGACTCAGACATGAGAAGATGAAAAGAAGAGGATATGGGAAGCGTCAAAAGAAAGCTACAAAGCATGAAGGTTAAGAGGTCTCTCTCTCTACCAAACGCTGTGCTTCCTCTTCTTTGTGTCCCCAGCAACTTGTCCTTTCCGTGCTTAATCTTCCTCTTATTTTTCAAGTTTAGAACAAGGACAGTATATATATCAAAAAAGAAAAGAAAAAAAAATGTAATATAAAATAAACAAAAAATTATATATTTTTTTATTTTATTGAATGAATACGACATCTCTATATATTTAGGATTAAAATAAATGGGATCACCTAATTTTATATGAAATAAAAATAAGTTCAAAATAAATAACATTAAGTGTTAAATGTAGTAAAATTACATATTTAGTAACTTTTTTTTTTATCAAAAGTAAATTTTTAATAGTTCAATTTAAAGCTATTATGAAATAATTATATATATATATTTTAAAAATATATCAAGTGTATAAAATTTTGCACAGCTTAAATATTAATTAATATTCTTAATATATTTTATAGAAAATATATAATGATTAAATTACATATTTACAAATATTTAAATTATGTATATTTTAATCGTCATAATAATACTGCGTTACAAGAATCAACAGTTAAATTAGTAAAACTTAATTTTAATAGAAAGCCATTGAATATGTCATAGTACTAAAGTTGACATATAATATTATTTAATCATGATCTATAAAATAATATATAAAGAAGACAATTTCATTCAGCCTGTTTATGTAGTTTTAAGTACTTCTTTATCATCTTAGAATTTTATTTTTATTTTTTTTAAAAATATTATTTAAACAAGATTTTTTAAATTTATTTATATATAAAAATTTAATTATATTTTAATTTATTTAATTCTCTTTTATTCATATCTTTGATAATTTTTAAAAAAATTATGTATATATTTAATATTTTAATAAATCAAAAGTAATTTTTTATCAGTCACATCAAAATCTTTTCATGTTTTGATGTGAACATGACTTTCTTTTATTTTTTTTATTTTTGTTTAAACAAAAAATTATTCGCTTAAATAAAAATACAAAAAAATATAAAATATG